ACGGCCCATATTGAATCTGGGCCGATCTGACGATCACGGATGTCCAATAATGTTTGAATTTTAAATTTTTTCTACAAATCCAACATGAAATTTTAGACGTGTGTTCTTATAAAATAGGCGAATCAATGAAAAATATTAAAAAAAAATATTTTACATGAAAAGATTGACCAAAATACCCCTAAAATTTTTTTTGGGGTATTTTGGTCAATCTTTTCATTTAAATATTTTTCATAGATTCACCTATTTTTTAAGAACACACGCCTAAAATTTCAAGTGATTTGGATTATTAGAAAAATAATTAAAATTCAATCACTACTGGACACTAACGACAATCTATGATCATCAGATCGGCCCAAATTGAATCTGGACCGTTCGCGCATTTAGCTTATCTACATGAGGCTGCTGCTGATCATTTTTTTTTTCCATATATATATATATACACTTAGAGATGTTTTGGCATCGAAAATCTTACAATGGCTTCAAAATATCTTTTTATCTTCAATTAGAAAATTTAAAATTTAAAAAATAGTACAGATCGAACAAATCAATAAACACTTGAAAATCTTGAAAAACAGACAGCCCATATGACTTTTTACAAGATGTACCTATTTTTTAAACTTGAAAATTCTTTTTTTTCTTCATTTCCATTCATATCACGGTCGAGAGGATCAGTTGGAGGGTTCTCCTATATGGAAATACTCTCCACTATAGGATTTTTGAGATGTACCTTTCCAAAACGGTATAAGGTTGCAACCTTGTACAAACTTTTTTGAAACATCAAAAGTATTGGTATACTAAAAAATATATCATACTATTTCCTATCAATATAGTTAGGGTGCGGTTTGCATTAAATAGCAATTTAAAATAAAGTTAGGAGCATCTATACATTTTATCATAAGATGTAATTTTGGTGGCAAAAACTCACCTAAAATTCTATTTTTGTATTGAATTATGAAATTTTAAACTCCAAAAATAGTTTAAATCAAGTAGATCTGTAAATACTTAAAACTATTGAAAACGGATGGTCCAAAAAATGTGTTGCCATATGCACTATTTTGGGACTTAAATTTTATTTATTTATCCATATTTATATTTATAGATTTCATGTTGAGATGATGAATTAGAGAGTTTTCCAACATCAAAACAACCTTTTCCAATAGATTTTTAATTCTACGTTACAATCATATAAATTTTTTCCATATATTAAATTAAGATGTAGTTTCCATAAGGCTGAGGCTCTAAACAATCAAAGTAAGACACACCTTCAAATAGCATAAAAAGATATCATTTCAATACAAAAATATTTATAATGGCCTAGAAATTTACTTTCATTTCTAATTGTAAAATTTAAGCTTCAAAAAGAGTGTAGATCAAGCAAATCTATGAACCCCATTACAAGGTGCAATATTTTCAAGACGTGAAGTCCATTTTTTTAAGTCAATATATCTCAAGGTTGAGGTAAGGTTTTTGGGTATCAAAACAACTCTTTTTCTAGTAAATTTTTTTGGTGGGCCTAAGTTTGATTTTTGAGAGCCTCAACCTTATACAAACTTTTTCTATTAAACTATGGTTCTCCTAGAAAAGCCTAGAATCCCTAAATTTTCGGCTATATGATAAACTTTATTCTATTTGAAAATGCATGTGAACGTACTCTCTCCTCAACCCCCTAAACATTTTCCTAACTATTTTAAGAATAGAAATATGATATATTGTCCTAAAAAATAATTCAAAAATGATGTGCCCACAAAATAGATCAGGCAAATCACCTAGATCTTCCAATCCCGAGAAGAAACCCCTGAGGGTCCATGAAAACCCACGACAGGGTTCTGAACCAAGGAGTCACCTCATCTTAGGCATTGACCTTATTGAAGTTGAAGAAATGAGGAGAAAACGAAATAAAGAGGGTTCACGATGCAGATCGAGATGATCCGAGGATGAAATTCGACTGGATCCAAACCACAACTTATTTTTGTTTAAGAGTGATAGAGAGCATGGACAATCAACAAATTCTGATATGAAGCTAAATCCATTAAAAAATGAGCAGATCTGCTCTCATATCAATGTAAAGCCAACATTGTTTTGAATTATGAAATACGACACAAAATGCAATAAAGCTGATTTAATTCTAATAAAATAAATAAAAATGAAAAGAAGTGCAAGAAAAAGTAAAATATACTAGATCGAGCTAGTTGGCCCGGGGCTCCAAAGGCTTCGAGACCTCGCCCGTATCATGACCGGCTGAATTTATGTCATTCGTTCTCTTTGTTCTCTTCAATGTTGACCAAGCATTAGCTTGGTTGAATGGCTTTCTTGAATTTGATCTAGGCTTAATGTTTGTAGGTTTAATGGCTAGGGTTTGGGTTTTCCTAGATCTAGGATTTTTCTCAGATCTCTTAATCTCAAGGTTTTCTTTGGGCACACAAGCTAATAAGGTCTAATCCTAAAAATGATCCTGAAATGATCTTTTAAAAGCTGAAAGTCGGCTGGAATGGGTAACTGCTAATTTCAAATGGATTTTCCTCCCTTACGCGACCCTTACTTTGGGTGCCTAAGAGCAATTGCAGGACGACCACCGATTGAATCCTTTGACTATTTAAAGTCTTTCAAACATAGCTAACTTTTCGAGCAACACATATTTCAGGATCTGGATCGATCCTTGAGACTCTACCTCTAGTTGAAGACTTTGGCACCTAAAAATGGATGGACCGGGGTTATGGCCGTAATCCCAATGGATTGCAGCATACTGGTCCCTAAATTTGAGAAGGTTTGGGCTGGGTACAAGCCTGGACTCAGACCCAGAAGGTTTCAAATTCCAATCGGGTGTGAACTCTGACTGAGATCTAGATGAGATTTGTGTGAGCTGTGGCTCGCACCAAGAGGAAGCCTAGATTCGGACCTGGTTGTGAACCTCTTTTGGACCTGGGCTAGGCAGAGTATGAGCCTAGACTCGGACCCAACAGGATTCAGCTCGAACCAGAAGTGAGATTTGGTATGAGCTTTGGCTCGCACCAAGAGGGAACCTAAGTTCGGACCTAGTTGTGAACCTGATTCGGTTTTTTTGTTATTATTTTTGTTATTTTTATTTTTGATTAAGCAAGGTTAAATTAAGCATGATAAAGATAAAAATTATGGCTGTAAGAAAAAATAAATTAAAATAAAATAAATGAAAATCCTGTAGGTTAACATTGATACTGCTTCCTAGCAAAATATTTTTTTTCGTATTTTTAAATATTTTATTTTGATGCCAAAATTTATGAGCAAGCAAGGAAAAGGCCGAACAGGACAATGGGTCCAAAAAAAAAAAAATTAGGCCTCTGTATCTGGGCGACATAGGTAGTGCCGCCTAGGCTTCTGGGCGGCACAGGCAGTGACACCCAAGGCAAACTGGGTCTTGAGATTGTAGAGACCCTGTACCTTGATCATAGTCAGTTTTGGGATTCTCTTTTGAGCGAAAAAGAATGGGAAATAGTGAAATAAAATTTTTATTTTGGTCCGACCTGTCAAAAGAAGGTGCAAGCGACCCTCGACTTTTTAAAAAAAAAAAAAAAAATCTTTATGCAAGGTTAGTCTAGACATGAGAACAGTAAGCAAAACATGGATGGAGACATAAGAAATTAAAATAAAATAAAGATGCAGATATTAACCATGGTCCTGTGTTCTATAAAATATTTTTTATATTTAAAAAAATTTATTTTTGACCCAAAATTGGTGGGAAGCCTAGGAAGAAGTCCCGGAACTGTACTAAGGTTTCCCGAGAATTTTCCGGGACCTTGAGATGGGGCGACACTAGGTGTAGGAGATAAGAATATTATTGAAAATTCTCTTGCCGAAG